GCGAGCCTCGAGACGGTGGCAGCAGCGCGGAGCAGTGGTCGGAAAGGATGCCGCCACCACCAGTCTTGTGTCGACTCTTTATTCAGAGCACCCACCACGATCAAACTTCCACTCGTACGGTCACGTTGGCAGTGTACCGTAATGCTCTTCGTTGCACTAGCTGGATCGGGGGTGTTGAATGTTCATATTGTCCCCATACTACAGTACGTACAAACGCGGAGTACACTTTGTGCTTCGGGTGTACTGCGACAATGTCCTGTCTACGTATTCATATGTCGCCGCCAGCTTCTGCAGGGGCGAGGGCCATGGCACACCACGGAAGCCGAGGATCGTAATCACGACCCTTTCACAACCGATGATGCTTGTGCTGAGCTACCCCCCCCCCTTGGCTGCCACCTCGAGCGCATTGTCTATGGCGTCGTGATAACTCCGTCGTAGTTTGGGCCACCATACTGTAGAGGATACACGAAAGAGGATGAGAGCACCACCGAAAACAGTGACATGAGCGAGGTTGGGTAGGTTTTGTTGTGAAGTCGAAGGTTTTTCGCACGTGGCCTCCGACCACATGTCGACCTCGCCACGCCCATGACAAGCCAACTACTGCTTCATATCTCATAGATATTCGTGGAGCCGTGCAACAGGACAAACGCTGTGATGGTAGCAGATGTGTCTCACTGCCATGGCCCAGGTATCTGTCGTTGAGTTTCATCGGATCTGTCCCTCCCGTTCGTTCGAGACACTCGTTCGTCGCCACTTTCTCAATAACCTCAACATCACCGCGACAACGATGGCAGCGCCCAAGAATATTGTGATCGCGTCGATTGGAACTCGAGGCGACCTGCAGCCGTACTGTGTCGTGGGCGCGGCGCTCGTGGCCCGAGGCCACCACGTGACGATAGCGACGGAGGAGCGCATGGAATCGTTCGTGACGACCGAGTTCAACCTGCCCGTCCGACGCATTGTGGGGGACATGCTCGGGGGGTTGTTGGACCCGACCTTCCAACATCGTTTTGGCACGGCACCTGTCATCCAGTGTTTCCAGCTCATGCAGGAGTGGAACGCCCGGTTCGACCAGCAAGAGATCCTGGCGTCGTACGTGACGGCGTTGACCGGCGCGGACATAGTGATCTCGGGGCCGTTGGCCATGATGGAATCGTACTGCGTCGCAGAAGCCATCGGCGCGACGTGGGTTCCGCTCTTCCTTGGTCACTTCCACTTCCCGACGTCCGAGTTTCCCCAGTGGATGCTGGAAAATGTCACGGGGAACTGGTGGGGTGGTCTCAACAAATGGAGTCATTCGATCATCTTGAGCCTCGGGTGGAAAAGGGAACGAGCCATGGTCAACGAGTGGCGAGCCAAGTCGTTGCACTTGCCGCCCATGACGATGCCGTTGATGAACTCGATGGTGGCCCACGACAACATCGTCATGTACCAAGCGTGCTCGGTGCTGTTCGCTGGGCCCAAGCGACGAGTGCCGGTGGATTATCCCCCTGGTAAAGTTGTCTACACCGGCTTCGTGTTCCCATACACGCCACAGCCCG